TTTTTTTTTTTTTTTTTTTTTTTGATAATTTTAGAACAAGAACAGCAATAAAGAAAAAGTAATGGAACTTTGTTTTACAGATTGTTTTTCTTCATTATTCTGTTCTACTTTCTTCCTTAAATTTAAGAAGTAATCAAAAATTTTAACTAATCAGGGTTGTGATTTTAGATTCCAAAGCTACGAATGGAGTGCAGAATGGTACTGCAAGATCTAGCTTGTCACGCGATAAACCGAGAGTACCAAAATTTTTGCAAACGCTTTGTTGTTGTATAAAACCTTCGATTGGAGAATCGTGTGGGTCTTCTTCTAAATCATTTTTTGGTTCAAAAACTGCATATGAACGTAGGGATATGGAGAAAGAAAGGCATTTTATTAAATAATGGTTTGAGTTCGTAGATTAGTCTCTGATATTTAATTGATCAGACAAACGTTGTTGAATATGCATTCATTTGCATGCATTTTTTTTAGCAAAACGACGTTCAATACAGTCGGTTTCTGTTTCATCTACTTCCCCAGGTTTTTTAATAACTCAGGTTAAGCAAGAGTCAAGTAATGGATTGGACTGCGGGGCTGAAACTTCATTATCCTCTGAAAATATGGTTCATCCGGCAGAGGAGATGTCAGAAATGGATGCTATGGTCCCCGTTAGTTTTGAAGCTTTTTAATTTGTAAAAGTTAAAAAAGAGAAATTTTGGAAGAGGGTAATCTTTTATTCACTCTTTTCGTTTAATTGGGTAAAATTCATTGTGTAACGTTATAGATATTACTTTCTGGTTCGCTTATAGAAAATGAAGCTTTTTTTGATACAACTGGTTTTTCAAACCTTTGATGGGATTAAGTCTGTTTATAAGCGCTCAGGTGATTGTGGGAGCGGAGGAGGGTGGAGGTGGGATGGAGAGCAGGTAAGATGTTATATTAGATATTTGATAAATTTGGTTACTTTTGGAGTGTAACTTAGTAACTGGTCTAATTTACTGTAAATTTTTTCAAAAGAAGTTGCTAACTTTTTTCAAATTGATTATTAGTTTATTTACTTCAAAATTATTTCATGTTAGCTGGTTGCTTTCTTGTATTCTTATGAACTCATAATCTGATAAGACAACAAATTTTAATGTTTGATTATTTTTTGATTGTTTGTTCAGCTCTTTGAAAAAAAACTATTTTTAGTGAGCGAACACAAGATTTGTGCCAAATACTATGCTTAATCTTTCTAAAGGATTAATTGATAAGTTTAGCTGTTCCAGCACTTATTATTTTCTGTTTTTCTTTTTTCTTTTTTTTTTCTTAGAGATCGAAACATTTTTGATGCGGAATTGATCTGTGCTTATTGTAATTTTAAGCATTATCTGTTCGAAGTGCTACAGATAGTACATTTTTTTACTGTATCTTGCTTAAAATTGACTTCTTTTTCTGTGGTGTTAATAGTTTTTCAATTTTTTTTGGTTCTTAAATACTTTTTCCACTTCTAATTTGCTTGGTCAGATTAATTTTACAGTTGGGCATTTAGCTTATCTAGTTATTTGCTTGTATTTTTACGATAACAAAAAAATGCCCGTTTTTGCCCAGTTCTTCTTTTTGATGTTGAAGATCAACTTTGTCGACTGAGGTGACGTGTACATAGAAATTTTTGCCTCATTTTTTCTGTAGGGTAGAGCGTGTTTGAACTTCAAATATTAACAAATTTTGTTTGCGCATTGTTTTTTCAGTCTGAAGTATCTAAGCGAGTCAGTCATGTTCAATTTGTAGACACATTTTGATTCGATCATAGAGAACTTAAAGTAGTTTAATTTCTCACTGATATCAGCATTCTTCATAAAGTTTTTGTTTCCAACAAACGACTACAAAATGGCATTTTTTGAATTTGTTTGTTAAAAGTGAAAAAACATTTTTAAGGTCAACTTTCAAATGTTTTATAAGTATACCAAGCAGTAGCAGAACCTTCTTGCCAAAAAAACAGAGAGTATTATTTAGAATGAGCAAGAACAGTACTATTCTTCCTATATCTGAGGATACGTCTTCCGAGTAGATTAAGTCTTGCACTTAAATGATAACTTCTTCACATGCGGTTCTTTTGTTGTTGTTGGTTTTGTTTTTGAAGGAGTCAGTTTTAAGAATTTTATTGCTATTTTTGATGAGGATGATCTTCAGTTTCTGCCGTCAGATAATGACTGAAATTGTCCAGCTTTGAAGTCTTTTTAAACAAGTGACAGTGATAAAAAAATTTTTTTCTGCATCAATATGTCTTTTATCTTTTTTTGCCAGAGAGCTGGACTTGTTAGGCTGTTTTCAAATTCAATTAACGAGTGTTGTGCTCCCAATTCTTTATTCACATTTGGAAAGATCTGATTATTTTTATATTTTAACTTACGCTACTGGTCAACCGTCTTTTCTTATAAGCACATCCATACTAAGGACTTTTTTGAGAGGATGCAACAGAACTGTTTGGCCGGCTATTTCCATCCAGAAGCAATTCTTAGAAGAGAATTTTAATAGTACAAATTTTGAATAATGCGGAGGAGAAGTGTACCCAGCGTAAAAAAGCACAATAATGGAATAGACAAGAGAGGAGCGACTGGGTGACGTCACTTTGGCAGAAGTCTAATAAAATTTAACGCAAAATTAATTAATTAGCGCCTGACCGTCCAAGTCATCCTTAGCAGTAAGCCTTTCGGGATTCATTTAAAGTGCTGATGAGAGAAGATCGTTGAGTGATGAATATACTACATCGCAGTTGAAATGTAACAAAACTTGGCGATCTTCCCGTTTTGTTTTTGTGGACTGCCCTAACGTAAAGCATATATCAAGTTGAAAAATGAATGGTCATGAGACTTCAAGTAGTGGTGTACGTCATCAGGGATATATCGTGGGCTGGGCTTTGAACAGTGTAAGCAATTCTCTGGCAGTTACTATGTACATCGATAAGCAAGACGGCAACTAGAATATCCTTTTTGACGCAGGCAGGTATTAAGATTGTTGCTGAAGCATTTTGTTTTGTAGATCAGTTGATCAGTTCGTAATGCGCTTCTTTTGCCAGCCTTTTTCTTTTTTACTTATTTATTCCCTTAGATACTGCTCTTTTTTCAGCAGCAGTTCTAGCAAATTA